GTCGGCGACGCCCATTTGGAAGCAGCCAGCCTGCGCCTGCCGCTGCGCCAGCCCGGGTGCAAAGCTTGACTCCTGCGGGGCAGTCGGCTTTTGCTTCTTCCTGGCGCGATCCACCGCGGTCCCTCCTCCACGAAGCGTTCTGAAGTAAGGTCCCCGTGGCATCCTCTGGGCGAGCTGCAAATATTCCTGGTGTTTATGCTGGCCCCAGCCTCGGGAGGCATCCGACAGGCCTGCGCCTGCCGCTGCGCCAGCCCGGGTGCAAAGCTTGACTCCTGCGGGGCAGTCGGCTTTTGCTTCTTCCTGGCGCGATCCACCGCGGTCCCTCCTCCACGAAGCGTTCTGAAGTAAGGTCCCCGTGGCATCCTCTGGGCGAGCTGCAAATATTCCTGGTGTTTATGCTGGCCCCAGCCTCGGGAGGCATCCGACAGGCCCCCAGGTTCATCTTCATCTGCCCTGTGGCACCTTAGCGACGAACCGATGTATTAGGGCATCCGCTTTTGTGGGTGCGCCTCTGCCGAAGTGGCTTTACCCAGGAAAGCTTGTGCCCCAAAAAATCTGTTCGTCTCTAAGGTGCCCCAGCCCCCCGGGACGTAGGGTTCCTGCTTTGCATTGACGTCTGGGTTTGTAATGTACCCAGGCGCCACTGGGCAGAGCTGGGAACTGAGCCTAGATCTCAGCCTGGTGCCTGTGCCGCAAGACAGATCTGTGACGTGGCCTTTGCTGCTCTGACCCTCACTGCACCTCTGAGCCTGGTGTGACACGAATAAAACGACTCCTGCTTGTGCGTTGTGCGGGGTCCCCGGCGGAGCTGGCAAAGGGAGCACGGGTCACTGGGACCCTGGCTGCAAAGGGAGCACGGGTCACTCGGACCCTGGCTGGAGTCAACTCTCCGCCCAGACCCAGGGAAATCGTGGGGACCAGCTGCCCTAACAGTGTCAGCCCCCGGAACCCTGTTCTCCTAGAGAAACGATGATCAGCTGGTTCTGCCCCAGCCTGGGGTTTCAGAGACCTGGATTCAGTCCTTGCCCCTCCACCGTGGCCTTGGACCACTCACCAAGGCTGTGTGGCCAATATCCTCTGAGGTATTGGGTGACTCGTTCCCACTGATTTCAGTGGAGTTAAGAGCCTTCGTACCTTGGAGGGGCTGAGCCGCTGGGCCCGACTTCCCCTTTCACAGCAATCTCCCCCCCGCACAGGGGTGTGGTGAGCATGTGCCCTCTAACTTTTCCCATCCCAGCGCAGAATAAATTTTGTTCTGGGCACTGAGGCGTGTGCAGATGTGCACCACCAATAGAAACACCTGCTGTGGGCGCTCTGCCAGTCAGCTGGACGGCGTTTGGCTCTTTCTGCGGTGACCACCCAAGCGGTCAGGTCGCGGGGAGCGCTGGTCGTGACCCTAACTGCATTGAAGCAGGGGAGCTGCCCAGCTGCTGCAGCCGTGGGGCTAGGGAAGCGCCGTTGATTTGGATTCAGTCCCTACTGAGCCACAGCTCAAAGGGTGAAATCCTGACCCACTAAAATCGGTGATGTTCGGCGCTCGCCCTAGCAGTCTGCAGGACCTTTGCCCCAGTAGCCTGGGGAATTCGCTCCTTCCCAGGGATTGCGAACCCAGGCTTGTGACCTCGTTAAAGAGCCCCAGAGAAGCAGGCAAAGGTTTGCCCCGAGGTCCAGGCCAGGTTGCATCCTGCACCTTGCAATTCTCCCCTGCAGCTTGTATGTGACAGGGCAAACCAGAATCCCCTTTCTCCCCTGGGTTGCTACTTGGCTTGTGTGGCCCTCCCTGCGGTAGCTACCGTGCTACTGCCGTAGAAGTGCTCCTGAAGGCTCCGTTTGCAGGGTTTCGGGGGTCCATCGCGCTGACAGGCACTGAATATTGAGGGACCCTGAAGAGGGATGAGGCCCACTTGGAAATGCAAGAGGCTGGGTGTGTGTGTGTGTGTGTTTGTGTGATGGCGCCAGGTGAATGCTCATGGGGAAGCCTTAGACCAGTGTCTGTCTCAGTCTCCGACCCGTCCTGCTCTTCATCTGCAAGTTACGCCAACTAAGCCGTTTGGAACTCGTCCGAGATTCCCGAAAGCCTGGTTCGGTTGTGTCCTAATGCAGAGGTTTTGCCCTCCACAGTGTCAGCACCTATGATCAGGGGTTTCCAAACGAGGTGGGAACAGCCGGGCACGCTGCAAGTCGGGAAGCAGGCGGGTTGGCAGAGCCACGAGGGGGTAGAGAGCCATGAGGCAGGTCTTAGTACCCGCCACTCGGTGAACGATGCTTGGAGGAGGCAGCAGCTTCGGCAGCAAGCGATAAGGTCTCGTGTGGGGCCGAGGCGGGGGAGCAAATAGGCCCGAGAGGAGAAACGCCTCAAAGGCAGTTAGGTGCCTTAAGGCACCTTTGGAGATTTTGGCCTTGGCACCTGCCACTCCATTTATTTCGCTGGGAGCTCAGCGCGTCTTGGGATCAGGCCCGGAATTAGCGTCTGAACTTGGAGACGGGGAAACCTCGGGGATCCCCAGGTTTTCCGATTTTGGAGGGGGCATTTTAAAAGCTGAACCTGCATTTTGCTCCAGATCCCTTAGCCTGGGCTCCGCTCCACCCTGTTCCTTCACCGGGGTAGGAAAGTGACGTAGCGAGGCTGACCTAGCCCCTGGGGTAGACCGAGCTGTGCCGAGGGCTGGGACTCTCCACTTGATATAGCTGCTGCCTCTGGGGGAAGTGGAGTCCCGGCAGTCCATGAGTATGGACAAACCCGCGGATACTGGTTGGAACTGACGGCTGTGTGAAAATGGGGGACTCCAGAGCAGACGTCACTGAGCCTTGCCTCGCCCAATTCATATCCTTAACAGATGACGAACAGGTAATTCGGGGCCAAGTTCCAGGCTTGACCACCAGGTAATCACAACGTCCAGTTCTGAAGGAGGGAGTGTTGTCTAGTGGTTAGATCAAACATTGGGCCTCCGCCTTCTAGGCCTGCCTCTAGGAGAGTGTGGTCTGCAAGCGGAGGCAGTGGCCTGGGACTCCCATGTTCTGTTCTGCTGTAGCACGGAGTTGTTCCTGACGTAGGCAAGTTTTGTAGCGGGGCTTGTCTCACGGGACTCTTACACCAGTGTACGGGGTGAACCGGAACCAGTCGTTGGTGCTTGCATGAGCACTAGGGTTTGTCCGCACGGGGAAGCTGTTGTGGATAAAGGTGGGTGCAAAGTGGAAGTGGAACAGCCGTGTCTGGATAACGCCGCATGGGGACACCTGCACAGCGCCATTGGCAAGTAGATAAAGCTGAGCCAGGCACTCGGGCTGCACACGCGGAGTGACGCGGGAACAGCTGCATGTAAAGTACCTGTTTCCTGTTTAGTTTATTGTGCTTGGGAAGGGGTTGAAGACACTCAAACTCCTTTCTGCTGGAATAGGAGTTTCCACAGGGGGCATTCCACTCATCTGGGCAACCCATTTAAAAAAAAAAATCACTCTGTGCCTCAGTTTCCCCACCAGGAACCTGATTCCCCCAGCAGGGGGCGCTGGGAGGATTAACTCTGATGCATGTGGTGCTATGTACAAAGGGCCATGGCAGTTCTCAGGGCTGAATCCTGCTCGGGTTTACAGGCTGCCTGGAACACGGGTGTGATGAAGAGCAGAATCCAAACTCCTGGCTTGTGTGCCAAGAAGCGCTGCTGGCCGGGGAGGGGGCAGCCCCTGTCTGCAGCTGGAGGGGGGGGCCACAGGGTCAGATGCTCCAGGG